ATATTGCTAAAGTAGATTCATTATACTGAGCTTATAAGAGGTAGTTTTTAAATATAACAATACTGCTATTAAGAAGATTATAATATTGTAATAGTATTTTATATCTTTTAAATTTTGTTAATAACAACTTATTTAAGATAAAACTAAAAATAATATCTGTCTTGAATGTTTTTATAATGTTATTTAGTAATTTATTTTTTATTATTGTTAATCAAAAATTGATAAAAAGAGTTATATAGATGTAATAATTTAATGAAATTGATAAGTTGTTGTACTCTCAAGCAGCAGGACAAGTGTTTGAATCCCATTGGTGACAAAATTTGAATTTATAAAATGTATTACAGCAGACTATATGACATATCAATCAGGTCAGCACCTATAACTTGGTTATACTAATTTATATTGAGAAGTTGTAGAACAATAGTATAATGCAGCCAAATTAATTTAAGAGATCAGGTGATACAGAAGCTTACTTAATAAGTTCTGAATAGAGAGATAATACAGATTTTTAATAATACTATATAAAGAATTATTATTTGAGAAACCAGACACTGAAGGCAAACTGAACGAGAACCAAGTATTTGGCAAATGCACTATGTCAACCAGGCTATCAGATAGCTGGAAAAAAAAGAATTTATTTAGAATACTAGAAAATATTCACTAATTTCTATTGGGTTATCTGGATTAGAAGTTTAGAGCATTAACAGTTGGCATTGAAGTACTGTTGATAGTTCATAAAGTAGGTACTGGGATTTAAATGAACTTTATAAAAACAAGAAGTAAGTGACAATAGCGAAGATAAAATGCTGCAAGTACTTGGCTGCGATCGAGACATAAGTTACTGAAAATCTAGGTAGTATATATATAAAATATAGACTGCTTTAGTAGGTTTATTACAAGGATAAATGATCCCTTTATATAATAGTATGTGTTTGCTTTAAAGTTCTAAGAAGCTTTCAAGGCAATTCTTCTTTGGGAAAAATATCTGTCAATAGTGTTAAGTTGATTAGAGAGTTTAATTAGGTAATTCAAATAATATGTGGATTATAGGTATAGCATTTAGTATAAAACCTAGTAATAGGCAGACTACTTAAATTAGACACTCAAAAGATGCAGGTATAGCTAAAATATATCCTTGTTAATGTAACAAAGTCAAAGCTGGCTCATGTGGCTGTTCTGACATTTGAACCAAAGTTAATAAAATGTACCTCTAAATGGTCATCTTAATATTAAAAAAAAACAAAAACAAAAAAAGTTGTAAATAGTAGTATATAAATTTATTTAAATAATTAAATTTTGAAAAGCTTTAGTATATTTTTAATAAACTCTTTAAATTTTTATTAGCTTTTCTTATAATTTCAAAATCTTTTATTACTTTAATTTTTTTTTAAAAAATATTAAGAGTTTACAATACTTTTTAAAGATATGAAAGGTATAATGAACAAATATTGGCATTTTTTTTAAATTTAGTTAAAATTTTTGCTATAGCGATAGCTTTTACTTCTTTTTCTTTAAAATTATTATTTAAAGTTGTTAAGCTATTTCTTTAACCATTTTTTTAAATTTATTATTTTGAATAAAATAGTATTTTGAATTGTAAGATTTATTTATTTATACTTACTATTTTATGAATAGAAACTAATATAAATATTATTCTTTATTAAAATTAGATTACCATAACATACCATTTTCTTGAAGTATAATAAAGTTAAAAAATGGTTTACAATAGTATGTATAAGTACTAGCAATCTGTTACAGATATCAGTATGCTAGCACGCTTGATCCATGTTTTAAAAAATTGTAATTTGCAAATGCAAGCATAATTTAAGAAAATAATAAACAGTTAAAAAAAACTATATGAATCAGAATGTGAGGTTTATACAACCCCTAAATGTATGTTTTGGTCTAATAGTTAAATAAAGATCTAAAAAAAAACTGGTAGAGTTCAAAAAAAATAAAAATAATTTTATTAGATTTATATGCCAATAACAATAATAATATTAGCAAAATTGATAAATACTTATTTTTGAAAGAGGAGCAAAGAAAAACAGATCAATTTCAGTGGTGTAATATTAAAAAAAAAATGTGTTTTTATATTATCAAAATTTGCTCGAAGGTATTTAAATATATCGGCAACCTCTGTCATCATCGGAACGGTTATTTTCGGATGCAGGAAATAGCATCACAGCAAAACACACAAACCTTGAACCAGAATTGGCGGGCGAAATGCTGTTCATAAAGAAAAATATGGACTTATTAGATAACATATTTCCTGCTAATATGCATATTATCTGCGCTTTAATTGTAATTTAAAATATTTTCTTTTATCATTATAACCAGCTTAATGTATTAGCTTTGCTTTTTATGTAATTCACGATTTGAAATCTATTTATTGTTGCATTGGCCTTTTTTTTATTGATTGTATAGATTTGCTTTTTATTGTAATTCGCAATTTGAAATATATTTAGTGTATTAGATTTGTTTTTATTGCATATTTACAGCCTAAATAACTCGGGAAAAAATAACTCGATCATATAATACGAATGATTCGAATACTCTTCTAAGTTTAATTAGCATTAACTCGAGTCCAGTCTATCCCGGGATACTATCGAACGTGTCGTATTCGGACGCAGTTTTGGAATTGGGCAAAATTTAAAAACCTCGAATTTACTATTTAATTACTACATGATATAACGTCAACCATATGACGCATTTATTAAACTGAAATAAAACTAATATAATTATCATGTCAAACCCACCTTCCAGACTTAAAATTCATCTCTTACGTTAAATTCATCTCTCTTATAAATATAATCAAATGATTTGAATCAAGTTAAATATCTATCATTACTACGTCATTAATTTAGGATAGTGTAAAAAGTCTCCCTAATGGAACGCAGTGTATTACATATTAGCCAAGCAAAGAAAATAATAATGAAGGTTTATACAAAGGAAAATTTTTGACAAAATTTTCGCAACAATAGATAGTCCATATAGTAGCCTCCAAAAGTTTGTAACTTTGTGTTTTAAATCCAGATTAGCGGGATTTAACATTTAAATAAAATTAGTAAGAAAAAAAAGTGTTTATTCACAATACAATAATAATGTGTTAAATTTTGTTATGTTTTCTGTGTAATAATATAGTTTTTAGAGGTCACATATTCAACCGTTTTGACCCGAGTTGTAAACTTTTGACCCGATTGAACCGTTTTGACACGGGTGATCCGGTTTACTATAACCTAGTTCTATCTCTACTATGCGGCAGCTTTTGCTTCTTTCAAAGCTTTGATAGTACCCTTCAAATAAACATCGGAAGTTAGTAAAAATACCGAATTTGAATAATCTATTCTTAGTTCTTTATTACCTTTTTAGCATAACGCTGATTACGGAGAAATTTGGGATCAACCTGGCGAAATAATTCAATGATATAATCTCTTAAAATATCAACTAATGAATGAACGAAATGATCGATAAATACGCAAAAACATACTCCTTTTAGAGATGGATACCGGTAAGTTTTAGGCTTCTTAATACCATTTCGGTGGGCCTTGCGGTCTTATGAAAAATTTAATTAGGTAAGAAAAGACTAAAAATGTAAGCAACATTCACAACTTACTTTGATTGTGATTAGTATGATTTTTGCTTTTTGCTAAAAAAAATGAAAATTGAATTATTACATGCAAACGTATTTACCCAATTGAATCGTCCAACTTACCCATTGCACTTGAAAAAGTTTTGACACAGACGAAGATTTACATCTGACCTATAATATAGTGATCTGAAAAAATTTTACATTCATGTGATTTTGCCAATAAAAAATTTCATATATCGATATATTGTAGTAATGCTGCGGCAGTGGACACTCGAACTTCGGGGGAGGGTGTAATCAATCGTCACCGCCGGTGACAGGCCTAAAAATTTTACCCGTGTGATACAGTATTCTTGCTAATCAGCCAATCAAAACGAACTTCAACTATATCATAAAAGTTCATTTGAAAAAAAGATGAACCTCCTCCTCTTTCATTGAAGCAAAACATACCCGACATGGCGCCCAAGATCGATCCAAATGAAATTAAGATTAGTTGCGTATCGGATTCAAAAAAAGAAGTTATTCAATTAAATGTAATGGTAAAATGACAATTTCATTCCCAAAGTCTATCTTAGAGCCACTGGTGGTGAAGTTGGTGCTTCCAGCGCTTTAGCTCCGAAAATTGGTCCGCTTGGTTTGGTATATAAACTTTTTAGTTTTATATTCATCGATCATTTTTTGATGTAAAGGAAGTTTATAAAAATGTGCTGATCGAATTTTATTGTTAATAAAGGCTCCTAAAAAGGTCGGTGAAGATATTGCTAAGGCTACAGCGGATTGGAAGGGTCTGCGTGTGACGGTCAAATTAACTATTCAGAACCGTCAAGCAGCTGTTTCAGTTGTACCAAGTGCTTCTTCCTTAGTCATTAAAGCCTTAAAGGAGCCGCCAAGGGACCGTAAGAAGGAAAAAAACATTAAACATTCTGGCAATATTACACTTGATGAAGTAATCGAAATTGCTCGAACAATGCGTTTCAAGTCCTTCGCCAAATCACTCAAGGGGACAGTGAAAGAAATCTTGGGCACATGCAATAGTGTTGGGTGTACAGTTGACGGGTATTTTTTTATATTTATTTATTTATTTTTTTTTATTTTTTTTTGAATTCTTGTACAATTTTATTAATAGAATTATTTTATTGCGTCAAAATAGACAAACTCCAAAAGATTTAAGCGACTCGATTGAAGCTGGTGAAGTAGAAGGTATGTTGTTTTTATTGATTAATCTTCAACAATTAATTTTGTTCATTAGATTTATCTTATTATTATTATTATTATTATTATTATTATTATTATTATTATTATTATTATTAGTCCCTGACGAATAGGACTGTTAGCCTCTGACAAATAACAATTGCACAACTTGAAGTCTGAAAATTGAAGCCTGTATTGATCTTGAATTGTAAAAGAAATTTTTGCTTAAAAATTAAGATATGATAAAAATTGCAAATATTTAATTGTAGTTAATGACCGTAATACAGTATTTTTGAACGAGAACTTAGTAGTTATGCACATAAAAATCAGCACAAAATGCTTATCACGCACGCGTCTAAAACATAACTCCTGCCATGTGATATAATAACGATAGTTGATAGGATAAACATCATCGGCCAATTAAATCTCGTCATCTATAAATTTTTTTTTTTTTTTACATACATATATGAAAAAAAATTACACATTAAGTCATCACCTCATCTTGCACGATAAGAAACGCGGCTTACAATCAAATCAAATTATAAAAACGAAGAATATTCCCACAAAAAAAAAAAAGAGGAATTGACAGAAGAATATGTTCAAAACACTTACTAGTGCAATATCTAAATCAGCCTTCCCCACCCGTACTGGCCTTTTGACTCTCTCTAACATTTCACAACGAGGATTTAAAACAATATATGTGTCTAATGTTTCATACACCTCTAACGAACAAGGGCTTGAAGAACTAGGCTCAAAATTTGGTAAAGTTGAATCTGTTCGTATGCCGAGGGATTATGAAGGCAGAAGTCGTGGTTACGGCTTTATTGAATTTTCGCATGAAGAAGAAGCTGCAAAAGCTATGGAAGGACTCAACGGATTCGAGTTTGAAGGTAGGGAACTGAGAGTAGCCGAAGCTCGTGGTGGGTCTAGTGGTCCCCGTGGCGGATTTGGTGGCTTTTCACGTGGCAGTAACTTCGGGAGATTTGTTGACCGTGGCGGTCGTGATCATACTTAAAATTTGAGTTCTTAAATAATATATTTGAGGACGTTGAAAAAATATGAAATGCTCTGCGAGAACATTGTAGGGGATTTGACTTTCTTATAAAAATGTTACTTATGCTTGTTTTTATTTTAATAAAAAGATTCTACATAAATTCTTTATTGCATTTATCATTATAGAAAAATTGTTATCGTCATATCTGTTGTGGGTATTTCGAGTTTAGTTATCTATTATGTTAAATTTTAGCTTATAAAGATGCATTTTAAGTATGAAACTTCTGATAAGAACTTTTCAACTTATTACTATAAATTTATTCTGGTTCATAGAAGTTTATATAGTGCACTATACCTAAAGACTAAAATCACGCGTAGCTCGTTCCATTTTAAAGAATTTTACATTAAATTTTGATTTTTTTTCTTTGATTAACTAAATTTAATTTTTATAGATATTTTAATTTGTTAAAATATAATTGGTTAAAAAATTTTAAAAGTATATTTTTTCTCTTTGATTAACTAAATTTAATTTTTATAGATATTTTAATTTGTTTAAATATAATTGGTTAAAAAATTTTAAAAGTATATTTTTTTTAGAACTAATTTTTTTGGTACGTAATATTTAACCAAAAAATTTGTTAAAAGGTTTTTAATCAAACTGCTTTGGCTAAATTGGTTAAATAATCCAATTAATCAATTTAATTATATAAATTTTTATTAAGTAAATTTTTTTCTTGTTTTAATTAGAAGTTGCAAAGCAAAATATTACAATTTTAATAGTAGTTAAAGTATTAAAAAAAAAACAACAAAATTAAAAATAAAAAAATAAAAAACCAAAAAACTTTAATAAAGAGTATTTTACAAAATATCAAAAGAATATATAAAAAAAAACAACAAAAACTCTAAAGTTAAAAACAAAATAATAAATAATAAAAAAATAAAATTTTTATTAACAGCTTTTTTTTTGTTTATAGTTACTGTAAGATTAGTCTCTTTAGCTTATTATTTTTATTAGATGCTTAAGAAGTTACCAGTATTTTTAAAAGGCTTCAGACATAGTATATTTTTTAATAAAAATATATATAAATATATATATAATTTTAGTTATTATCTATTTAAAAGTTTTGCTATATTATTATCTTTTAAACCATCTAGCAGACAAATTTGCCTGCTTAAATTTTTTTGACCAATTATTATACAATTTCTCCAAATTTTATTAAGCTGCACCTTTATAATCTTTTGATTAGAATAAAAGAACACTATATGCTAGTTGTCATATGATTGTTATTTTGCGAAATTTCTTCAACAACATTCCAAAATTATCGATCATCATATGATTTTCATATAATTTTTACAATTAAATTTAATAGTAAAAATGATACTTGCATATGACAATTATGAAAGATTTTTATGATCATTACACAGAGGTACCTTTTATAATATAATATTGAAGTTAGTTAAAGATTTTCATGATCAACATTACAAAATTGATTTTTTGAAATAATGCAAGAGAGATAAGATGACTTAAAAGCTTGGTTAAAATAGTATATTTTATACTCTTCATGTGAACTTATACTTTTTGTTTGGATTATTTCAAGTATATCATATTGTTGTATTGAATATAGCATATGGCTCAAGTTTTAAAAGTCATTATAACCAATTAAAATTAAAATTTTTATAAAAAATTTTTTTTATGATTTATTTTTGTCAAATTATTTAAGCAAGCAAATTTGCTCATTTAAGTGGATGGTTTAAGAGATAGTTATTTTGTATATACTACTGTATATCTAAAATCTATTTGTGAATTCTTTATTTAAGTTCTCTAATTTGAACTTTTCTATACTATATACTAATTTAATTTTAACTAGAATATAAAGTATATAAGTTATTTTATATCTTCTAGATTATTATAAACTATCTATAAAATAGCTATTTTTATATATTCTATCTGCTAGAGTATTCTAATATCTACTATTATATTATTTAGTCTTTTTTTTAGTAATTATTTAAAGAAAAGCAGATATTGCTATATATTTATAAAAAGTTGTTTATTACTGTAGTTTGTTTGACTATATCGAGTAATATACAATTTTTTTTACTGATCAACAAATATATACTTTATATTGTTACAATATACAGATCACCTTTGTTAATATCAACCTTGTTAATATCAACCTCCTGTTATTATTAACTTAGCTTATAGAATAAATTTCTCAATATAAAAATTCCTCTGCACATATCAACTTTATTATAATCCTTCATTAATATCACTATCAATATAAATAAAATTTTTTTCATAATAAATATTCTCCTGTTAATATCCTTAATCAATAAGAATTATGTAAACAGCATGTGATAAAACAAATTTACCAATTAAATTACAGTACAAATTTTATATTATCCCAAGTGTATTACTAGAAGCTTATCAGGCTACCATATGACTTTTGGCTTCGTTTTATTTTTTTTATCACATTTGCTTTTTACTTTTACTACATTTAACTTTTTTTAAGCTTTTTTGCTTTTGATTTCTATTATACCAGTTTTTAGCTTCATTTTTACTGTGTTTATTTATCTTGACTTTTAAAGATTTTTTCCAAAAAACGAGAAACATACAAAAATTAAACAAAAAACTAGAAATTCTCAATAATTAATATGAGACTAGAAATCTTCTATAAGAAGATTCCTGGTCACAATATAATTATTATAAATTTAGTTATCAATACGTAAAAATAATACTGAAGATAATCATGAGTAACACTTGATTTGAAAAATATTAGTATCTAAAAATTACACCGCAGTCTTTTAAAAATTCTGCAGGCTGTGTAGTAAAATAATGTGTGAGTTGCAGTGGCCTATTGTTGATTTAACTTTGGTCATTTGTGTAAAATGACAATAATAAGCTCCGGACTTTAACTAGTTTCTGGTTTCTATTATCTAAAACTTTTTTTTTTACTAAGTAAATTACTTTTGAGCTCATAATAAAGGTTGCAAAGCTTACCAAGATATATTTAATGGTGATAAAAATGTTAAAATTAGCTTGTTAGTTTTTGAGAAATCTTTTACTAATATATAAAATTTCTTTAAAAAAAATTAATTTTTTTTAAAGAAATTTTATATGTCAGCCAAATATTTTTTGAAGCTTCTCAAGAACTACTATGCTAATTTTAATATTATTACTACTATTAGATGCATTCTAATAAGCTTTACAACTTTCATTATAAGCCTAAGAGTAATTTATTTAGTAAGAAAAAAGTTTTAAATATAATATCTCTACATTTACTAATTGAAGAATTTATATAATCTTGTATAACCTGTATTACATAACTCTCTAAATGACTAGTAAATTATTTATTAAATAAATAGTTAATATATAACTAAAAATTTTTGTGTTTAAAGAAATATTATATTTAGAGAAGTAATATTTATAAATATTATACTGTATAAATTAATCTAAATAAGGCTATATATTTAGAGAGGTCTAATTATAATAAGAAATTAAATACTAATGATAATAAAAATCTGAAATTTTAAAACAATAAAAAACTTTTTATAATATATCAAAAAGAATATAACTAATTTTAACTAGTAGTTAAACCATCATCTTATTGTCTGGAGTGAAGCAGAAGACTTATACTTCTATATTCTTTAATAACTAAAATTTCTTTTTTGATATATTTATATTAAAAATATCAAAAAAGTAGTTTTGGTATTTTTTGTTTAGCACTTTGTTTTTATATAGTAAAGTCAAAAGTTTACTAAGTAAATTGATTCTGTTTATTAAATAAAAATTGTTAGAAGATCAAGATGCATATATCTTAAAATTATTATATAATTTGCTAATTTTTTATTAATATGTTTTTGCAATTTATATTAAAAAAATCAATTAAATTTTTTTTATAAATTTTTATTTAATAACAATAAAAATTAAATATCAACTAATATTGGGCTTTTTCTTTCTCTTCTATAACTAATGGTAGTTAGTCTTAAATTAGTTTATAAATAGAAAATTAATAGGTAATTTGCCACACTTAGGTGGTTATACAAGATATAATAGATAGTTTAAAATTAATATACCTCTCTATTATATTAAAAAATATATCCAGCTATGTATATACTTTTGGTGTCTGCCTATGTTATAGGTTTTATACTATATACTATATCTGTAACTGGTATTCTGCATGATTTAGACTGAGCAGTCATTTTTAAAGATCTGGATCCAATCTAAACATTAATTCAGATTTAAAGTTAGAATCTGAACTTGTATTACTTAAATTCAAGTCTGGTCTAGATCTGTGAAATTTTAAAATTTATAGATATTATAGCTAACAAAGCCTTAGTGTCTATACTAAAAAAAATAATTACAGCTGTTTTCATAAATTCTAGAATACCAAAATTCATATCAACTTTCCCTAATGATTACTTGTACCAAACTTACAGTTAATGAAAACAGAAAATTGTTAAAGAAAAGTAGAAGAGACAACAATACAATAATAATTTTTATAGAGGTCAAGGCTTTCTCTATTCTCCCAGACTTCTCTGTATATTCAGCATTATACATGCTGACAAAATTATTTTAGATTTTGGGGTACAAAATTAAAATTTGAGAATGAAATTGTTTTTGATCTATTTACTTAAAAGATAAAGAAACGAAATTATAAGAAACATAACTATCTAAATTAGATTTGCTATTGCATATAAAAAATTCTAAATTGTTCTAATGGAGACAAAATAGGATTTTTTGAAAACCTATTTCAGCAGCATGTATATTTGGCATATAAGTTAAAAGCATTTTGTACAAAATAACTAGTAAGAAGGTGGTGTCTTTGTACAAAAAATTTTAATAAAAGCTCTGCTTCTGCTGATAAAGTTAAAGATATTTGGTTTAAAGAGAATAACAAACAAGTTTTTAACACATTTTTTACTGAAGTTTAAAGCTACCTACAAACTAAAACCCTTTTCCAGACTCCACTCTCTTGGTCTTTACAAATTTCTTCAAAAAGTAAAAAAACAGCATACCTTTAT